ATAAGTACATATTCAAGCATATCAAGTGAAGCCACGAAATAAGCCAAGCACGGACTCATACTTACTCATACACACATACAATACAAAAATAGACCAGAGCATGTTAAATACTATCATCTAACATAATTGTCCACTTACTGTATACAAAGTTGATTAGTTGCCTCTCAAAAACGCCTTACAACCTGACTTCACTAGACAATTCCAAGCTCTAGAAACTACTACACAGAGAATCAACTGCTTGCATATTGATGTGCAGGTCAACAAGCCAACTGCCCTCCATGAACTAATTCATGGGCTGAGGAAAACACTGTTGTCACTAACATATATCTTTCACTGAGACCTAGGGCTATCAACATTCCAGTCTACTGGAAAAGGAAAGTACATGGAGAGAGACAGAGGCATCTACAGCCAAATAAGTGGCATTTGTCACTTCTCATTTTCTTTTGTAGTAAATACAGTCACAAGATCAAAGCTAATTACAAGTTAGCTCAATAACTAGAAGACAGTGGTCTGTCTAATTTGAAAGGTAGAAGCAAGCAGTCTCTGTACCAATGACACATTGTGCAAATGCAATGATCTGTAACAAGTACTGACAGAATAAATTTTGCTCTACATTTAAAATTTTATTAAGAGCCATACTGTTTACCCTTGAGGATGGAGATAAAGTATATTCCATGAACATGTCAAATAGTAGACTTATTATATGCTTTACAATAGACACACACACACACACACACACACACACACACACACACACACACACACACACACACACACACACACACACACACACACACACACACACACACACACACACACACACACACACACACACACACACCAAAATAGAACTGTATCTCTTTTATTTCATTTCTCAGGAAAGTTGGATTTACAAGATATTCTGCAGTGTACAGCCAAGGTACTGGCCAGAACTCAAGGACACAAAGTGGTGGATAGTTCTTCCTCAGCCTCAGAGGACCTCTCCTATGAAGACAAATTCTTGAATACAGGTTTGGAGGGACTAAAACAGGGTACAAAAGGGAAGCTAGGGACTAGGCTTAAACCAGAATTGCGTTGAATGGTTCTGAACATCAGTTGATACACAGCTACTCAGCCAGACAGAAACTGAAAATAATCAGCAGTGGAAGCAATAAATGTCAAAGGGAAAACACATGAGAGAACTTCAGAAGCTCAGGATCACTGGAAGACTAGGCTCTGCTCAGGAAATGGTAGGAGAGTACCAGAGAGGATAAGAACGTGATCAGAGTCACATAAGGACAGCATGTCAGCAGGGGCTAAGGAAAAGCATAGTAGACTATCAGGAGGGAGAAGCTCAGAATAATAGAATCCTCAAAAGATCTTACTTAAAACACATTAGAAAGATACCCAGTCCAAGAACATAGCACATCCACTTACTGTCCTAGCCAATATTCACACATATTCCTAACAATCCCATCTGCATTGCTACTTCTCTCATTTTCTTACAATCTTTCACATGCTCATAAATGTAATACTTTCACTTTTTAACTCTATCATGCAGGTAGTAATAATTATTTTGACTTCTAGATGACCCTAGAAGCCAGGAGCCAGCCAGGAGATAAGTTTGTGTAAATAGGTGCAAAATATATACTTTTTGTCTGGGTGTTTTTGCTCATCTTTATATTATGAATGTTACCCATGTGGCATATGATTATAGTGTATATAGTGTCATTACTCCATATATTCCATTGCATGAAGAAAAAGTTTATTCATTTATCATACTTTGCTGGGCATTGTGAACATAATACATAATAAGGGACATAATAAGATCATGAATATTTAATTTCTCCAAACACAAAATTTAACAAATCTGTCATTTGAGGTTAGGAATATCTAGGAACTAAGATGTAGATAAATTGTGAAATATGTAGAAGGCAGCAAGCAATATGAAACATTACCAAGTTCAAGGGGCCATAAAGCACCTTGAGGGCAGGATCCCTATAGAAACACAAGAGGACTGAAGTACAGCAGTTCCTGCCCAAGCAAGCCATCACTGCTGAAGATGCACTAAGTACTCCTGGGAGAGGGCACTGAACAAGATGGCTCTGGAGCAGAATGGCAGAGGGTTAGAAGAATGGAATCAGCTATTCAAGTATAATCTGATTACTCTGCTCCTATTTTACAGATGAGTTCATTCTCAAAGGTCTGAGGTGGAACAAAGGTGAGACCAGAGCCTGTTTGTTCAACAGCTGAATAAATAACCACTTTTCTCTAAAACTACCCAGTTTATGTTTCCATAAATCACCATGTTCATTTTCTTATCTCCTCTGGAAGGGTCCTTAAAAGATAGGAACAGAAAGTGTTAATATTCTGGCTGGCTTTGTCAAAATGTTGTTGGGTAATTATTTAGAAATGGCTCACTAGGGCCAGGATTTAGCTCAGTAGTGCTGCCACTTGCCTCGCAAACACAAAATCCTGAGTTTGACCTCCAGTACCAGAAAAAGAAAAGAAAGAAAAAGGCTTGCTAAACAAAACTATCCTAAGCCCTTCTTGCCTTGACCAAAGAATTGGATGAGACAAGCCACATACATTGCCAAAAGTTTATTTGAAAAATGAATGGTGAAGTGGGTAAGGGAAAAATGAGCTCTGCAGAGCAAACTTGGGCCAAAGAAAGAAAAGAGAAAAAGAGTAAAAATAAAAATAAACCTTGGTTCTGGGAAACCCATGGTGGGCTATTGTGAAGAGACAGGATAGAAAGCTCCTTCTGGTGTTTGATCTTCCTTATGACGTCCATATTGTGTAGGATCTCTCAGGAAGGTCTACATATGGGGTCCAGAGAATCATATGACACTGCCCTGGAGTCTTGTAATTTACAGGTCCCTCCTACTTTTATAGATAGCTTTGCCAGGCTCTACTTCCTATATCAGAAGGTTAAAGATCCAAGAGAAATATGGAAGCACATTTCTGAAGGCTGAATTGGGATTAAGTCTGTAAAGTCTTCATTTGAATGCTTAGCTGTGCCATGACCAGTTCCTAGAGAACCAGCTAACAGTTTGTATCTTTGCATGCAGGTAGCCATCATCTATCCAGATTCATATAAATACTTCTGTGTATATGATTCTCTACATTCACCAAAATAAATGAGTCAACATACACAATTCCTCATGAAATTTGTACTCCATAGTCTTCACTGGCACAATTTATTACCAGAAAATTGAACCAATAATAATAGTAATAGTAGTAATATCTAACTGTTAGTGAATGTCTATAATATTTCAAGCATATTTGAGTTCCCAATATTCTGCATACATCTCTAAAAGTATATAGAAGATACCCAATCCCAGTGATACCTACCACATACATAATTTTAATAAGCTCTGTATTATTTTATGTTGTGTGAGAAATTACTATGGGTGGTAACAATGGTAGAAACAAACTATCTACTCAATATATTTGTTTCCAAATAACACAGACCCAGACTATGCTATGTATCAATATTTTTGTTGCTGCTGTTTCCTCCATTTCAGAACTGCACAACTCTCCAGAGGATGCCACCAAGACACATGAGATGGACCCAAGTTCAAATCAGGATGCAGGAGAGAATTTCTCAGCATCAGAACATCTGACCTGCATCTCTTCTTCAAACAAGTGTGTTCCCATGGACCAGGATGGTAAGGCAGATGCAGAGGTAACCTGAAGTCGGACAAGAGGTGCAGCTGAGCAGCCTCCCGACCCCATTCACTTCCTTCACATAACTTTCCTTCGTATACAAGAAAGGGCTTCAGGGAAGAGGGATGAAGACAGACTCCTCTGGTGAGGGACGGATAGGAAATCTGCTTTCCAGAAGAGGACAGTTCCTCAGCACACACTTTCATGTGAACACTGGGGCCACTGTGGATGAGGCAGTGGCCTATGTGATGTGCAGGAGGTGGGATCAGAGCCTTCCCCTCAGATCAGTGTATAGACTCAGCACACACTCACATGTCACACTCCTCCATTTCTTTTGCTTTTTACCTTTCTCATACATACCTCTTCTCTCCCCATTGTCCCAGTATCAGCATTACATAGGTACAGCCTTATGCCTACATTCCTGAAGTCATCCTCATACTCAGCCACCATTGTACACTTTAATCCTGTAAATAACTTCAGATTGCCTCACAGAGATAAACTGTTACCTCCCATGGATGACCTGCTTTAATTCCATAATGCTACTGGTAGACAAAATACTAGAAAACTCTTGTGCCCTTCCTAATATGTATATGTTCTCACACAAAAGTCTCTCCTTCCACCACACCTTCAGCCCTGCACAAAGCTGCATGTGCCGAGATCATGAACACCTCCTCTAATATCTAAGGCTACTGTCACACCATCTACCAGTATTTACAATGAAATCACATGTGCTATCATACAGTATCACACACACACACACACACACACACACACACACACACACAGATTCTGCCAAAAAATGTACACACACTTCAGGAAAAGAAAAACTTGTATAAATATTTTAATACTATATTTCCTGAGATATTATGAGATCAATACAAGTTATCTTTGGCCTCTACAATTACAAGAGGTGCTCAAAGTGGAGGCCATTAGCAGTGAACTGCTGCTTGGGTGACCTTGGTCAGTGAGACTGCTACACATTTATTTTCAGTGTCTTCTCTAAGGGCTGACAATGGAGTGGGTTTTCTGCAATATACAACATCTTCTATGGCCCCCCCATATGAGGGTAACACCATCTGTTGAAAAAAATATACTATTTTTCTTTTCTTGAAGTGTGTATACATTTTTGGCAGACTATATATACATACATATATGTACATGTCTATATACATGTATACACATATATGATTTCTAGTAGATGCCCCACACACTCATTTTCCACATAGGATTACAAAGCACATACATTACATGATACAAATCACACACAAAATATGACTCCACCCCAGGACATTCTCATGGCCATCTTATCTCCTTATTTTTGAAGCTTTCTTTCCCAGATACCAATATACTACCTCAAATATGTTCCAGGTTCTGGATCCTCCAAGATGTTTTTAAGTCAAGATTTGATGGAGAGGGAGAATTTCTCCTTCGTGGCATGTTCCTATTTGCCTCCCTTCTTGGCCAAAAACCCCTCAGAGTCTGCAACATCTGCTAAAAAGAAAAGTCATGAATTTACTATAAGCCTGTTCCAATGAATAAGGATATGGCTGCCTTGGGGGATACAGAAAAAGATCTGGAGCCCCCCACAAAGATGATAAGAATAGTAAAAATTACCTATCCTGAGAAGATTCCTTCAACAGCTAGCCTTTCTTATGTGTGCCTAAGAGACATCTGACAGTGAAGATAGCTTGGACAGGGAAGTTCAAGAGGAAAGGGAAGAAGATGAGAATCTGGCCCAGGAGTCAGGTCCTGGTGCCAAAACACCTGCAGGGCTGGAGGACCTGTATAGCGGCTTTAGTTGCATGGGCTGCTGCCAGGTCTTCCCCACTACACAGATGCTTAAGAAACACCTGGAGCATGGGGTTGAGGATGGTGCTCCCTGCCTCAGTCTTGCATTTGCTAAACTAAAAAACAAAGTGAAGCAAAGCCAGAGGATCACAGAGGGGGAGAATAGGAATATGACAACATCTGGAGGCGATATGGAGATACTTTTGAGGTTCTTGTCACTTTTGGCTTTTTGTAGTTTTTTGTTTTACTATTATAATAGAAACTAAATCATTCTTGTGTTTCTACAAATAATAAATTAGAGGCAATAACTCAAGAAGGCACCAGAAAGCTTTTCCTTCCACAAAATAACAGAAGGAATAAGCATCTTCACAACCTAAGCCTTTGGTTAACGTTTTTCTTTTCATCTCTGTTCTCTCACATCAGCCTTCTGTTTTTAGAATGGGTCTCAAAGTTTGTATTTTACCTTTAGTTTATTATGTATTAGTACATGTTGGTAGTACATAACGTTTACATACCTTGGGAGTAATTGGTGCATGTACAACACATCTTACACTTTCTTTATATCATCCCCTTTCACTCCCCTCCCATCCAGTCCTCTCCCTTTGATCTACGGGATCAGATCGGTTGGTTATTCCTTGCCTCCTGATTCCCTGTGATGGGCTCCCGAGAGGAAGGGCGCTGCCTGACCAATACAGGTCTGCTTGCTCCCCTGCTGGTGAGACACACTCCTCTGGAGCAGGTGTGCTTGCTCGTGGGGTCAGGTGCTGCTGCTCAGGCACAGTCTGCTCTCAGGTGAGGGTGGGATGGTGCTCTTTTGGCAAATGTCTGCTTGCTCGTCTAAAGGTGGGTGCTGCTCCTCTAGGCTGGCTCTGCTACATAGCAAATATTTTAAATGTAAAATTCACATTGTTTCTTATCGCATCTCATATATAGGGGAAAGTGTATTAATATAGTTAAATTTGCAAATGACAAGTGATGTCCACCATAAATTGCATCTTCTAACATTTTACCATTATTAATGCTTGAAACTACAGAAGATATTTGGGATTCTTCTTTATACCCACATTTCGTTATCTACAAAACACTCACTTATTATTCTGTCCTCCTTGGAGAAGCACCTATGCTCCTTTGTGTACATGCAAACAGGAGCCACGGTATCACTTCTCTTATCCTTGGGAAGACTTTTTTACTTACTATCTCAGCTTCCTAACTTTCCACGCGTTTATATCATAAAATCTGATGGCTGTGTTTGTGTTCATGTGGAGAAGATGGCTTTTGGTCGTGCTTGTCACGAGATGTGGAGTTTGCTAAGGGAAGCTGCCCAACGCTTTTGTCTGCCAACCGAATTGTTGGGAAACAAAAGCGGTCCTGAACCGAGGTTTTACTGTACTGTAAAAAGAGTAACAAGCGTGCGTCAGGAGTCACACAATACTAGTTCAAAGGTGAGAAAGAAACATAGACCTGATCTGCTCAGAGCTCCGCTCCCTCCCAGCCTGGGAGTTCAGGTGAACCCGTGCTGCCACCGTACCACCCCAGCTGAGGCTCCACCAAACCAGTCACCGAGCTGGGAGGGGGAAGCCCCTGCACCCACCAACCCCTCTGGGCAGAGTCTTTGCATAGCTCCTCACGCTGTGGTCCCGAGGAGCGGGGCTGGAGGACGTGGCAGCTGTTAGGAAAGGGAAAAAAACTGTACAACTTACTCTCTCTCTGAAGCCGAGTAGGCAGCGGTTCAAACGAGCCACTCCAAAACCATCTCGGCCTTCCGTGCCTCAACCATGCTGGTGCAACTCTCCGGTGGCCTCACGGCTCAGGCCCCTCAGCCACGCGAGACTGCAACTGCAGATGGCGCCGCAGCGCAGGGCAGTGGCATCAGCGTCCGTCGCCCAGGCAATTGGGCGGAGCTCCCCTCCAGCTGCCCTGCGCTGGGGGCTGCACCCTCTCCCCTCTTCTGTTGCTTCTTGCTTGTGAGCGGCGGGTCTTGTCCGGTCTCCCACGCCAGTCTCTGCAGGTGATAGTGGCGCCAGCTCTGCGGGGCGGGTGGATTCCAGCGCGAGAGGGGCGGGTTGGAGGCTGAGGGGTCAGTTCTCTGTCCTCGCTACTGTCTGCTACACCCGGTTCGAGAGGGTCAGCGGGTCCGAAGAAAGGCGAGGAGGAGTCGCCCTGACTCACCGCCAGGTAAGAAGCCCGAATGCTGAACACTTCGGGACCATTGTCCTTTCCCTTTACGTTGGACGAATTCTCTGATGCGTGGGGTGGTTTGAGGGATGCCTAGCGTGGGCTTCTAAGGAAGGACCTTTGCATCAGAACAAGCAAGCTAAGGAGCGCAAAGCGTGTTAATCCTGCGAACATCTGGAGAAAGGGCGCGTTTTAGGGATTCGATTGCAGACGTCATAGTGCCAGAGCAGCCGCGGTCGATTTTTCCAGAGGGCTTGGAGCTAACCAGGAGTTCTCAGCCGGTGGCTTCGGCGCAGGCCGTGCGTTAGGCCGTGCACCTTCATGCTTCCCGCAGCAGGAGTACTATTCCCCTTCTCCCTTTTAGACCTCAGCAGTTTACATGATCAGTTTACTAAGCTGGTTTTATCAGCACCTACTCCCAGTTAATTTCCACAACAGCCTTGAATTGCCTGGAGAAGTTCATGGATATCTTTAGATAAAACAATGTGTGATCAAACTAAATAGTGAATTATTAAAAAGAAACTATCATTACAGTAAAAGACACATTGTCATTAATCTCCCCCAAACTGTTTCTCCTTCCCTTGGAACACACTGATCCTAACATCCTCGCCACTTCTTGAGGCAATTCTGGAAGTCTTTTGTGAGTGTCTTTTCATGGTTACCTCCATGCCCTGAATCTATTCAAGTTTTCTGCAATTTCTATAAAAAATATTATGGTTTGGCCCCCACCACCACACACACCTTCACTGAATCTGACCCTGTGCAAATTCTGGCTCTTCCACAATATGGAAGCGACCACGAAGGGTAAATGTTTTGGATCAATTCAAAACATCGAGGCCACCTGAACTATGCAATGAAAAACGTTCAAGACAGGGAACTTCCAGAACTGCTTCCAAAAGTGGCCAGAACGATTGGATACCTGTGTTTGAAGTAAGGGGAATACTCTAAAGGGGATTAATGGCAATATGTCTTTTAATATAACAAAATTTTAAAATCCCTAAACATACTTTTACATCACTGAATACTTAATAGAGGACGCTGAGAGAACACAAGCTATGTGGTGCAAAAGAAAAGGGAATCAGTTTGAACCTGACAGTGATAGCTTTGTCCACAACCAAGGTCCTGACTGATAAGAGACTGGAATGGCCCCATGGAGCCGGCGTCCATTCACTTTCACTCCCTCAGCCCAGCCTTAGAATTTTCACTAGAGCACAGCTCCTCCCAGTGGCCAAAGCAACGCATCTCCTGTGTGCAGCTCTGTTAGCTACCAGCTCAGAAAGCCCTGATGTCCCACAGAGGAAACCAGAAACAGCTGAGAGGGTTTGAAAAGCCAGGGAAGCATGAAGAAGAAGAAAGTGTTTGAAACAACAGACGGTGTCTGCAATAACTCGAGTCACTCACACACCCAGGACTCAGTTTTTGTGCCATAGAGTTTGGGCCTGTTAGGATCCTTAGCAATGAAGGAGCATGTTAATTATCTAAACCTGGTGCGACTCACGGCCATGCTTCATTTGCTCAACAAATCCTCACCGAGCAGCAGCCAGGAAGGACTATAAAGATAATATTTTCACCCACAGAATTCTGTTTTAGGAAGGCAATTAAACATATACCCAGATTACAACTAGGGAATAAAAATGTGTTTTTATGATGTTTAAGAAATGTACTCAGAAAAAAGAAATGTATTCAGTATTTCAGTATTTAACTTTCTTCGTATATGTAATACCATATTTCCTCAGATAAATCCAGAAAAAAATGCAATCTAGAAAAACTGCAAAAACTCCAAAGCCCTATGTATTTCCAAAGTGTTAGAAACAAAACCAGCACCCTCATTTTTTCAAATGGCTTTCAATTTGAGGGTTGAAGTAGCCATAGCCAGCTAAACAAGCTTCTTGAGGTTATTTTGATAGCTACAGTTGATAGCCAAAACTACTGTTTTGATAGCCATTGTAACTATTCCCTCTAAAGGGACAGCCTGTTAAAAGTAACTTTAACTATTTTTATTTTCTGGATGTGCTCACCTTTTTCCAGATTAATAGTTGACAATTTATAGTAAATGAAGAACTAGTTCTCATCCTAAGGGTATGGAGGGCGAAGGAGGGGAACCCTAGGCTCAGTAATGGTAGCTGCATCAGATGATACTTTAAGGACCAAAGGCGTCTGATTTCCTAGTATTTTACATCTACATTTTGAACTCAAGTCAAGGTAGTCTCTCAAAGCAGAGAAAGTCTGAACATAAAGTTCATCTCACCATTTTTCCTCTCTCTCATAATACAATCTATTTGTATAATAGCATTATAATCAGTACATTCTTCTACATTCTACATTGGCTCCACGGGACAAGCAGGCCATGCCCATGCATGGGTGTAGAAAAAAATATTAGACAGCTCTTCCTCAGAGTATGAGGGGTGAACAATTTCCAGGGTTTAGGGGTACAGTCCAAAGGACTGAGGAACTTCAATATTGAGTTTTCCATCTATAAAGCAACAAGTGTCCCTTTTAATCCCTCTTGGTTTTTATATGCCCTCAGGGCATCCTCTGAGCTTACCATGCTCCCCAACAGGTGCCTGCTATCTGGAGAGTGACCAGAACTAGCTTAGGCTGGAATAGCCACCCTTACCAATGTGTGCACCTACATCCTCTGAAAACTCACATTTCCAACTCAGAATGTTTCCAAACACACAAGTTACAACTGATTCACACTATAGCAGTCATGTTTAAGAAGGGAAGCATTGCCAGCAAAATATTAAACTAATGATCAAGAGGCAAGGACAACTGCATGTTTTCTCCAGCCAGTTGCAAGAAAAAACCTCTGCCCAGCCTATGGGTCAACCAAAACTGTCACAGGTGCCTTTCTGGATGAGTATGAATTCTGATTATCTCCTGACCCAGGGATGGAGGTTATGTTGTATATAAAGGAATGGCTATAGATTAGCACTCATTTTCTAGGGGTTCAGGAGCTTCCAATCAGAAAGGAAAAAAGATTTTCAGAATTCTAAAGAGAAACACATTACCATGTACTGACAATAACAACCATCCATAACAGAGGTGAACTGTCAAAATCTGGCCTCTGGCCTCAGATTTATCCAAGAACACAAATTGCAAAGCAATTGTAAATTCAAAAAGTTATTCCAAACAGGTGTCCAAAATAAAACAACAAGCCGTCTTATAACTACCAAACAAGTCAAGGAATACAAGTAAATTCAGCAAGCAGTGTAGAAGTAAGTCTAAATGCAGAATACACAAAACAGGAGTATAAGGCCCTGCCTGCAAAATTTCAATTTCCCATCAAAGAAACCTAAATATGAAGACATCACCATCTTCTCACCTCTTAACTTTTAATACAGAGCAAGTAGCAAAGGGCATAAACAACCAGCAAGCAACAGATGACAATTTTTGATTACTCAAATGAATCTAGAATCCAGTCAAAATATTTAAGGGTGCCAGGAAACAAAAGCAAACTCTTAGCTCCTTCCAATTACCTTGGTGGGACCTACAAAATTATAAAAGAGAATATAGCTCCCAACCTTCTAGATGTCAGATGTGCTGAGTTCATGGCCCCTGAAATCGAAGAATGAGGTCCAAAGGAAAAAAGAAGTTAAAAGTAGGAAAGGTTTATTGGGGAATGGGAATAGCTCCTGAGAGACAGAAGAGGTCCTAGGTGGGTTGCTACCTAGGCCTTTAGTCAGAGGTAAATACACATAGAAAAGTTGCAGTGTGGGTATATCATGGGTCAAACTATAATCAACCTACAGGATTACAAGTATAGTTGCTTAGCTCCTATTGATCCAATAAGGAAGCAAGGCACATAGAAAGGTCATATGGCTAGCATTATTAACCTCAGTTTATCTATGACTCCCAAAACAGAAACAATTTGGGGAAGGGATGTGTCCAGTTTATCTATGACTCTTAAAACAGAAACACTTTGGAGAAGGGATATGTCCAAGTGGGTCACCTACCTGGGTGTCTGATGTGTATCTGGACTTAATGTACTGGATGGTACCAATTACAGTATAATCTCAAAGTTTCATTCATCCCTTAGGGAAGTATGCAAGACTGGCCCTTATGACTTTATCTTGAGGCCTTGCCTACTTCAGATGCACCTCCAGCCACAATTCTGATTCCTTTATTATGCACTGACTTCCTTGATCCCAGTCCCTCTCTGATGGTATTTTAATTTTTATCTAACTATAATAAAGAACTTAACCTGCCCTTTTAAATAAATTTGCAGATTTGCTGACCCCCATCACAGAAAAAGAATTTTTAGGATGCATCAGTAAAAGAAGCATGAGAAGGATTTATTAGAGGATGATATAAGATGCATTCAAGGGCATAGTGTGGGACCTCAAATGAGGCATGTTATAAGCTAGGGTGGGGCACATTTGACGGTTGTCTTTAAGATAGGTGATGTAGGATCTGTATTTTTACTGTCTATCAAGTTATAGTGCAAGCCAGCTGTATGGATTTGAAGTGGAGATATGCTGCTCAAAGTTAAAATATGTTGACTCCACTGCAGCTGCTTTCTGGGCTGGAGGAAAGGACATTTTGCAGGTGAAAAGGGTCTATTGCCTGAGAATTTAGAAGTTATTGTAAAGAGGCCTTTAGAAATTTAACACTTTTTTCTGTGAGGAAGGAAAGAGGGAGAGTCACATGCTAGAGTGAACTTCTGAAGCAGGAAAAGATCTTATCTTGAAGTTGCAGTTTTTAAAAATGTACAATTTTAAATCTCGATTTTCTAATCTCCTTTCTACCCAGCTTTAT